GCAAGTGTAGTCAATTTGATTTCTATGTATTCCATCTGGTGAGGTCCATGTGTATAGTCGTCTCTTATGCTGTCTAAAGAAGATATTTGAAATGAACAAATCATTGGTTTTGAAGAATTCTATCATACGTTCTCCAGCATCATTTCTATCACCAAGGCCATATTTCCAATCACCAGTAATGATCAATACATTTTGATTGCATGTTCAATGAATTTCAGATTGAAGAAGTTGGTAGAATTCTTCTATTTCATGCTCACTGGCTTTAGTGGTGGGTGTGTAAATTTGAATAATAGTGGTATTAACTAGGCTTCCCTATAGGCTCATGAATATTATCCTATCACAGACAGCGTTGTACCTCATGCCTAATCTGGATATATTATTTTGACAATGGATGCAACACCATTCCTCTTCAATTTGTCATTCCCAGCATAGTAAACCATATGGTTGTCAGATTGAAAATGGCCAATACCAGTCCATTTCAGCTCACTAATGTCTAAGATATCGATGTTTATGCGTTCCCTTTCATTTTTGACAACTTCCACATACATCAATCTCTGGTTATTGTCTGTTCTTGTTGGTTCTCAGTCCACAGAACTCCCTGTAGGATGTTTTTCATAGCAGGGTTGGCTTTGGCAAAATCCCTTAGCTTCTGTTTATCCTGGAATATTTTTATTACACTATCGTATTTGATTGACAGCTTTGCTGTGTAGAGGATTCTTGTTTGGCATTTTTGTTCTTTCAGGGTTTTATATATGTTTCCCCATTGCCTTCTTGCCTGCATGGTTTCTGTTGAGAGATGCTTGCTTAATCTGATTTGCTTGCCTTTGTATGTTACACTTCTTTTTTCACTAGCTGCTTTCAGGATTCTGTCCTTATCTTTGATTTTGGAGAGCTTGGTTATGATAGGTCTTGGTGATTTTCATTTAGGGTCTAACCTTCCTGGGGTTTGTTGAGCTTCTTGAATGCTTATCTTTTCACTTTTCAGGATGTTAGGGAAATATTCTTTCAGCAGCTCTTCAACTATCTCGTCTGTGGACTTGTGTGATTCTTTCTGTTCCTGAATGCCGAACATTCTTAAGTTATTCCTCTTCATGTTGTCTAATATGAATCTTAGATCTTCTTTAGATTTTTTAAATCCTTTTTTCTGCTTGTTCTTCTCTTAGCAGTGTTGAGAGATTTATCTTCTAGCTCACTAGTCTGGCTCCTATCTCTTCAGTTCCACTCCTTTGCCCTTTCAGTGTATTGCCCATTTCTGATATGCTATTATTAATTGTTTGGACCTCTTTCTGTACATTTTTGAATTGTTTCCAATGCTGTATCTATCTTATTTTATTGTTCCTGTAGCGTTTTCCTGACTTCTTCCTTACTTTGCTCAACTCTTTGCAAAGTGTTTTGATACATTTTATAGTAAATTTTCTGAATTTCTTTTCAGGCATTTCCAAAGCCTGCCCATCTTCCAGTATGGAGTGTAGGTCTACCTCCTGCTCATTTATCTCAGTCACTTTATCTCATTTCTGGACATGTGCTGATATGGTCATCTGTTTCTGTTTTTGAGGCATATTCAGTAGTTAGCTGTGACCTTAATACTTAGATGTGTGTGTGTTTTGGTATTTTTTATGTTTTTTGATTGCCTCCAGGTAGATGTGATCAGGAGGTGGGCTACCCGTTTTGCTCTTTTTCCTGAGAAATTTCAAGAAGCCACTGTTGGTCATTATGACGTAACTCAGGATTCATTTTTGGCCTGATTCCTTTTCAGTCTGTCTGTCCCACTCCACAACCCCAGTTCAGGTCTTTTTCCTGGTGATAAACAGTTCAGGGTCAGCTGTGGCCATTTTGCAATGCTGTTTATTTTTAAGTGGAAAGTGTCCTTTTAAATTTTGAAGAAATCTGTGCACATGTGTAATAGAACCCTCTGGGGGTTGGGGTGGGGTGTCCACTCTCTCAGGTACCCCCTCTACTCACGGAATGGAGGTGTGCAGACAGCGAGAGACCAATAAGCATTAAAAAAAAAAAAAAAAAAAAAGAATGTCCACACCTTTATCTTTGTGGTTCTATCAAGGCTCTGTGGCTGCCCTGATCCATCCCTCATTCGGTCTTGCCCAAGATGGCCACTAATGGAGCAGGTGATCACCGTGGATTAGAAAG